CTGGGTGACCCTGCTTGGGCAGGGGGTTGGGCTGGGGGATCCCAGGGGTCCCTGCCAACCCCGCCGTGCTGGGATTCTGGGATTCTGTGACGGGAAGCCGTGTCCCACCTTACCCTGCCCTCCTGTCTTGCAGAGGACGTCCAGGTGACTGAGAAGATAACCATCTCCAAGCAGTTCAAGGAGAAGGTCATTCGCCCCATCTTGAAGGTAACGGTGGTTTCTTTCATGGCTTTAATGTTCGAAACGCCCGGAGTTCTGGTCTCTGGGCACGATGGGCCGGGGAAGACCCTCCGCAGCAACACGTCTCGATGACGTCGGGTTGCGTGACGGACCTTCTGAAGCACCTCGGGTCCCTGCTCACCTGGCAGCTCCCACGCAGACCAGGGGTTGGAGCTCCTGGCGGGAGGCTCCAATGGGATCCTCAAGACCAAGGGTTGGAGCTCCTGGCAGAGGGCCCCGATGGGATCCTCAAGACTGAGGGTTGGAGCTCCCGGTGGGCGGCTCCGATGGGATCCTAAAGACCGAGGGTTGGAGCTCCCAGCAGGGGGCTCCGATGGGATCTTCAGTCCCAAGGGTTGGAGCCCCTGGTGGGAGGCTCTGATGGGATCCTCAAGACCGAGGGTTGGAGCTCCTGGCAGGGGGCTCCGATGGGATCCTCAAGACCAAGGGTTGGAGCTCCCAGTGGGGGGCTCGATGGGATCCTCAAGACCAAAGGTCGGTGGTCCCAGTGGAAGGCTCCGATGGGATCCTCAAGACCAAGGGTTGGAGCTCCCAGCGGGAGGCTCCGATGGGATCCTCAAGACCAAAGGTTGGTGGTCCCGGTGGAAGGCTCCGATGGGATCCTCAAGACCAAAGGTTGGTGGTCCCGGTGGAAGGCTCCGATGGGATCCTCAAGACCAAGGGTTGGAGCTCCCAGCGGGAGGCTCCGATGGGATCCTCAAGACCAAAGGTTGGTGGTCCCGGTGGAAGGCTCCGATGGGATCCTCAAGACCAAGGGTTGGAGCTCCTGGCAGAGGGCCCCGATGGGATCCTCAAGACTGAGGGTTGGAGCTCCCGGTGGGCGGCTCCGATGGGATCCTAAAGACCGAGGGTTGGAGCTCCCAGCAGGGGGCTCCGATGGGATCTTCAGTCCCAAGGGTTGGAGCCCCTGGTGGGAGGCTCTGATGGGATCCTCAAGACCGAGGGTTGGAGCTCCTGGCAGGGGGCTCCGATGGGATCCTCAAGACCAAGGGTTGGAGCTCCTGGCAGAGGGCTCCGATGGGATCCTCAAGACTGAGGGTTGGAGCTCCCGGTGGGCGGCTCCGATGGGATCCTAAAGACCGAGGGTTGGAGCTCCCAGCAGGGGGCTTCGATGGGATCTTCAATCCCAAGGGTTGGAGCCCCTGGTGGGAGGCTCCGATGGGATCCTCAAGACCAAGGGTTGGAGCTCCCGGTGGGAGGCTCCGATGGGATCCCCGGGTCACTCCTCCGGTCCCCGCTGACCCCCCCACCACCTTGGCCCCCAGGCTCACTTCCGACGGGACGAGTTCCTGGGGAGGATCAACGAGATCGTCTATTTTCTGCCGTTCTGCCACGCGGAGCTCATCCAGCTGGTCAACAAGGAGCTGAATTTTTGGGCCAAGAAGGTGAAAACCGTCGGTTTGGGGCAGGGATGAGCTTCGGGCCACGTTCGGAGACGTTGAAGCGTCTTCATCGCTTTTTGCCCATCAGAGCTCTCCGGGGCGTGAAGGAGGAGCTGAGGGGGGTTCTGGCCCCGTAGAGCCCTCGGCGCCTTTTCTTCGGCCCAGGGACACCTGCAGCCCGCCGAAGACCGGGCTGCCGGCGTTCCTCGAAGCCATCGGTAACGCTCCCTCCTCTTCCTCACCCGGCAGGCCGAGGCGAGGCACAACATCACGCTGCTCTGGGACCGGGAGGTGATGGACGTGCTGGCGGACGGCTACAACCTGCACTACGGCGCCCGCTCCATCAAACACGAGGTGAAGCCCACGGCGTCATCTCCAGCCCTGCCCGGTGCCAGGAGAGCCGGGACCGGGTTACGGTGATGGGAGAGCCGGGATGGGGTTATGGCATGGGGAGAGCCGGGATGGGGTTACAGAATCACAGAATCATCAAGGTTGGGAAAGACCTCTAAGATCATCAAGCCCAACTGCCAACCCAACCCCACCAGGCCTGCTCAACCATGTCCCCAAGGGCCACATCCACACGTGTTTTGAACCCCTCCAGGGATGGGGACTCCACCACTGCCCTGGGCAGCCTGGGCCAACGCCCGGTGGGGTTACGGCATGGGGAGAACCGGGATGGGTTTATGGCTCGGGGAGAACCGGGACGGGGTTACGGCATGGGGCTCTGGTTCTCCACGCTCAGGTGGAGCGGCGCGTCGTCAACCAACTGGCCGCTGCCTACGAGCAGGCCCTGCTGCCGCGCGGCTGCACGCTGCGGATCGCCGGGGAGGGCC